CAACCCTCAGTTTGTTCTCAGTTTTTAAGAGTCTCTTATGTGAGTGACTCATTTTCTAAACGTATTTGAGGATTTTGTTTTCATAACAGCAATGAGGGTTTGATTTTATTTCCTCGTTCGTGGTAAGACATTCTGAAAAGCGCTGGCAGGCTATATGGATTTTACATTACCCGTTTCTCGTCAAAATGAGAGGCCATTTAAATGTGTGACTACCAGACGGTATTTCCAAGAACAGAAGTCCAGTTGACAAAGTGAGTGTTATCCTTCTACTTTGCTTTCCGGTTTCCATCTGGAAGGATCTCTCAGAAGTATTACAAGCGCTCTGGCCACAGACACCAATTGCCTGGCCTTGGGCTTGGGGGGTGTTGGTACATGACCGAGCCACACTCCAGAGGACACCACACTGCAACACTTGGAAATAAGGGACATCTCTGGGCTCGCATCTGTGGGACCGCTGAGCCAGTCTGATTCCTTCCATGACGCCATGGCAACGTTAGGGTTGCCCCAATTAGCCCCAAGTCACTTCACAGGCCTCACGTTGATCTTTCAAGCCTGCCATTTGAGATTCATTTCTTAGGGCTAAGGACCTTTCCCCGTCGGCCTTCTACGAAAGACAAAGCCCTCTGTCTAAGTAGGACGAGTGGTCGCGATAGCCTCCGAACGAATTCCATAATGAGCTTTTCCTCTTTTTAAGGAAAGCCCACAGGAGCCTGAGAAGCCTGTGAGAGGGAAGAGGGAAGGAACAAAAGAAAGGCTAAGGAAGTATGTTGACCTGAGCAACTTCACAGAGCGAATAACTAAATTTGCCAAATGGATGGATTCCAGACTTCCTCCCAGTTTGGCTAAGGAGACAATGACTTATTTGGAAATAAAGAGAATTTGAATGCAGCCTGAATGGTACCACCACTAGTTGAAAGATAAATATATTTAGATACAGGACTGATAAGGATAAGGGAGCTGCACTCAGCACGCATGAACGTCTGGGTGCCTCTCTTGGCAAATTCTGAAGATCTCTCTCTTAAACTGTGCTAGAAGGGCTGTATGTTGAGCTTCTGAATCAGAGAATGCAAACAGGCATGATCCCACACTCAGAAGAGGGAGTGGGTACCAGTGGGATGATTTAAAGAGCAGAAGAGCCAGGAGTAGTCTTTTTGTTTCAAAAAATTGGCTCGATTTCCCTACTTTATGCAACTACACTCTCAAGGGTGCTAAATATCTTGGAGGCAAACGCATGAAATACCAGATTGCCCCAGTTCGTCTTAAGGAATAGGGTTGCATTAAAGCTGTTGTACTATTCCCACCACGCTGAATTGAAGATGTGTGCTAGAACTAGTCTGTCATGTACTGTCATTCCTGGTACTACTACAGGAATTTTGTAGTGAGTACCAGGCGTCTTGTTTGCATCCTAGTTCTTGATCCAGATGTCCCAGGATGGGTTGATATGTTCATGGATAGCCCAAGATCAATTGACCCATTGATACTCTACCCTCCAGCCCATTGACCCTTGTGGAGCCCAGTTAACTGCACACACATTTCTAAAATTAGAAATTACTCTGCCTGGGAAAGCAGCGTTTATACCACACAAGGCTGGTGCCTGTGTCCTCAGCCTGTCTTGTTCATTTTGGTATCCTATGTGTGTCAGCATCTATAAAAGGTTACAATCTATGGACTTCCCATGAAACCAAGTAAACCTATGAGCAGAGTGAAGAATAGGGTGAGTATGAAGCTCTTTTCCTTAAAGATAGTGTCTAAAAAAAAAAACAACAAAAGTCCTTACTTTACCCTACTAACTTTATATGTATATATTTTAATTTCATTTAAATCCACGTTAGTTCACATATAGTACAATAATGGTTTCGGGAGTAGAACCCAGTGATTCATCACTTACATACAAC